AAATACAGAACAAAATCTTACCTTGTAGAGCAGCTTCCAGCGGTAAAAATAAGCAAACACTGTCAACATCAAAAGAATGTTCAATTCAGTTATGATCAAGTTGATCAGCGTATGCCACAACGCCCAATGGCCAAGTTCGTGCCCTAGCACAGCTACCACCTCGTCATTCGACATTCCTCGAGCCTAAATCAATTCATGTTCAGTCCTCGATATGTATATGAAAGTACGCTTAACCACCTTGTCCTTATCGTTCATCTCTTCAGCCGCTTCAGCACATTCCTTAATAACCTTCTCTTTCTCCTCTCCGCTCAGCAATGTGTCATACAGCACAATTCGCTTGTTATTCCAAAAACCATACATATAGGCATTACTGTGGGCGGAGCGTTTGGAACCTTAAAACAGAAACAACACAAATCAGATGCAACCTGTAGCAACAAAAAAAAGACTAAAAAGCACTTACCGTATACGACGTATAATTTTGTCAGCGGGAAGTTCACTGAAGCTGCGAGTTTTTCTATGGCAACCTAGATAGATTACTGTACTTAGTTAAATTTCTATTGGACTTTCTCAACAGTGCGACGCATACTGCCACAAAACGCTATAACTTGATGGAAGCATACTTATCCAAGGCTTGATACCTATAACTTCGAGCAAGTCGGTTTCGGCAAATCTAGTAGAGGTCGTCCTCTACGCCCCTTCCCCTTAACCTCCCTCCCTCCCTCCCTTTACACCTTCTCCACTTCTCTCCTCAATAGAAGAGCTAGTTAATGCATACTATAATGCAAACCTTAAGCTCTCCATCGGGTAAAGGAATATATTTATCAAACAATGGCGCTATAAAGGCCGGATAGATTGTCAGTAGCAGAAGAAGAACAATAGATACGAACATCCACACGTAAACGAAAAAGTATGGGCCTGCAAGTATCAAACATTTGAAAATATCATGTACCAAATGGTGTGTAAATGTTAAAGTTTACCTCCATGTTCAACAATCCATTCAACAACTAATAAAATTGGGGCCATTATGGCTAACGATAGTGCAATTTTCTTGGCCTAAAATGAAACTTCATTAAAAAATTAACTCAAAACAACTGGTACTCTCTTCTTAGAACAAAATATCCTTTCCCACCTTGTCTACAAAATAAAACCCGACTGTCTGTTTATTGAACCCGTGTCGCTCCTCGATAACAAATGTATCGTACATGTCCCATGGTAGATCGACTAGAGTATCCACAAGTGAGTTGCAAGCAAGAAATACAACAGAATGAAGAGGGTAGGATCCGCAAGCATACCATAGCCATGGCAGCCAACCACCGATGAGAATAAACTTGGAAAGACAGTATATTAGAGATGTTGTTTGACTATTAGAAGACATTTTTAAGCACAAAAAGAGTAAGAATAACATTCAAAAGTTTATAAGAAAAATCTTACTGTAGTCCATACTTGCCCAAATAGATCATGTGCGAAGCAGAAAACGTGCTTATCTAATTTGTAATCACGAGCTTTGGTGTATTCCTATAAGAGGAAAACCTATAAAGAGAAAAAAGGTAACACCCAAATGTAGAAGTAACTACCTCTTCAGTGATCAACGCGTCCACATGCTTTGGCCTTTTCTCATTTTTACGATGTACTTCGTATTGGCGATAATGGAGGTAGTAATTCCATAAAAAAAGAATCCAGTTAGTACCCAGCAACAGTTTGAAAAGGCTGGATGCCTCCATTTCTGGAAAATTTTTATCATAGCCTATAATATATTATCGTTTGACTGTAAATTGAGATTTAAAATAAATTTTCACCACAATATTGAGTGTGAGATTTCTACTGCATAAAAAGAGTACTTCTAACATAATCAAACTTTGTTCCTAAGACGAAAGCATTACTAGTAACTTACGACAACTTTTTTCTGTACAAATGATCTCATAACGAAGCAATGGAATGTTCTTTAAAGAAGAGCGTGCTGCA